TGAGATTACCTAAGAAATTGGAGGGTATCTCACATTCCCTTCTAATAACTAAAAACTTGATGCGGATGTTATCTAACATTCCCTGAGAAAGTTACATAACCTGAACCAAATATGAGAATCTTATATTACCAAACAAATATAACATTGGTTATCTTATATAACCTGAACCAAATGCTCCGTAAGAGTTTATCCAAAATGAATCTTGCCATATTCATGTCTAGGTTCAAGACCATATCATTACATTTAAATTTAATTATAATTATTAAATTCAAATATAATAAAACTATAATATCTTAAATAATAATATTTAATTTGACTAAATCTTTATCGAATAATTAAATTAACTTGGCAAATAACATAGCCCAAATTATTTTAACTAATTGATGCACAGACTTAAATAACTTAATTTAAATGCGATCCACCCGTTTAATTATGTCAAAGTTAATTTCTATGTCTACAGTAACATTCAAAAAAGTAAATTTCATCATTAAACGAATATGAAATAGATAAGGAAAAAAAATCTCAAAGACATCAGGAAAAATACAAAAAAGTGAAGAACTAGTCATTTTTTGTTTAATTTCACTTTTTAAATATTGAAGTATTGGGTCATGAATTTTAAATTTTAAATTTGGGCAAAAATGCATTTATGAATGTTTGATAAGAGATCAATCAAAACTTTGTTAGAAACTTTAAATTAATTAGAAAATGACATATATGTGTTTTTTAAACTAGTTTCCTAGACAAATATTTTCAGAACGAGTAAATGTTACTCTTTTAAAGTTTTCATGCACTATAAGTATGAATAACTGCTTTCACAATATCTTATTTAACCCTGGCTACATGAATTTTGAGTTATACTTCTATTAGTGTGTGTGTGTGTGTATATATATATATATATATATATATATATATATAAGATAATATCTTCTAACCTATTGTGTCACATCAAATAAGAAAGGATTGAATTTTAACCTGAGATGAGAAAAAGTAGACAAGGCTGGTTGGGCTTCGTACGATGAGAACTGATTGTATTATATTTTCTGAACTTAATTACAATGAGATCAGATGATGTGAATATATAGAATAGAGACTCACAGTGTGACAATGATAAGAAGTAGAGAGTCACAGTGTGACAAGGATAAGAAGTTCTAAACAGACTCATATACATAGAGTCCTAATACTCCCCCTCAAGCACAGTGTATACTAGTAACCTGTAGCTTGTCCCTTAAGGAAGAAAATCTAGGTCCAGGCAGAGCTTTGGTGAAGATATCAGCAAGTTGATCCTTTGTGGAGATGAAGTTGACTTGGATATCGCCCGAAGCTACTCGATCACGAACAAAATGATAATCAATCTCCACATGCTTGGTGCGCGCATGAAAGATTGGATTGGCACTCATATATGTAGCTCCTAGATTATCACACCATAATTTTGGAATGGAAATACCCGGAATCTGTATCTCACGCAATAATGACATAATCCATAGAACCTCAACACAAACATCTGCAAGAGCTTTGTATTCAGCCTCAGTGGATGACCTGGCAACAGTTCTCTGTTTCTTGCAAACCCATGATATAAGATTACTCCCCAAGAAAACAGCAAAACCACTCGTGGATTTTCGATCGTCAGGACAACCAGCCCAATCAGAATCAGAGAAAGCATGAATGTCTCTAGATGAGCACCGTCGTATGCGTAAACCATGATCAACTGTTCCCTTAACATACCTGAGTACCCGTTTGAGCTGCTCCCAGTGTGATATGGTGGGGGCATGCATATGCTGGCATAACTGATTAACTGCAAAGGATAGGTCAGGTCGTGTGACAGTGAGATATTGCAGTGCTCCAGCTAGACTTCTATACTGTGTGGGATCATCATATAGATCTGAATTGAAGGGGACAGTTTTCGAGACAGAGATAGGTGTAGAAAGGGGTTTGCATTCAGACATTCCAGCCCGTTTTAAAATATCATTCATATACCGTTGTTGAGATAAAATAATCTCATTGTCACTCTTAACTGTTTCAATACCCAGAAAAAAATTTGGTTCACCAAGATCTCTGATTTTGAATGTAGCAGACAGTTTGGACAAGAGCTGAGACATAATACCTTGATCACTTCCCATTACAAGAATGTCATCCACGTACACCAATAGATAAACCAAAGCAGAGTCTTTAGAGTAATAGAACAGAGAGACATCTGTCTTGGATGCTTGAAAGCCAACCGATAGTAAGAACGTATGTAGTCGATTAAACCAAGCTCCGGGAGCTTGTTTTAACCCATACAGAGATCTTTTTAACAAACAAACATGATTCGGGAAGTTAGCATCAATATAACCAGGGGGTTGCTTCATATAAACTGTTTCAGCCAGATTACCATTCAGAAAAGCATTATGAACATCTAGCTGTTTGATAGACCACCCAGATGATAAAGCTAGAGATAGAAGGAGTCTTACAGTCGTAGGCTTTACCACTGGACTAAAAGTGTCGAAGAAGTCCTGACCTGGAACCTGATTAAAACCTTTCGCAACCAGCCTGGCTTTATGCCTTTCAATAGCACCATCAGCCTTTCTCTTCGTACGAAACACCCATTTACAGCCAATAATATTCATACCTGCAGTGGGTGGAACTAGAGACCATGTGTGGTTATGCAAGAGAGCATTGAATTCTTGGTCCATGGCTTCACGCCACTCAGGATATTTAACAACTTGAGAGTAACATGTGGGTTCCGTGGGATGCACTTGAGCTGCTAGAGCAAAAAGAGGAGCATCTGCGTTGCTGCGAGTGGCCATAGAGTGAGTACGGACATTGGGCCTGATGGACCGCCCACGTGGACGGCCTCGCCGGCGAGCAACAGGCTCCACAGGATCACCCGACGAGGTAGCCTGTCCAGGAACCACGGCTGGTTCGAATGAAGCAGGTAGCGGCGGTTCTGGCAGCTCATCATTAGACACGGCAGGAATAGGTGTGCTGTGACTGAGAACAGATTCCGCCCAAGGTCCAGAAAACGGAGTAGATAGATCCTGCAAAGAAGTTTTAGTAGCAAAGGGGAAAACTTCTTCATCAAATCTGACATGCCTGCATGTGTAAATCTTATTAGTATGTAAGTCCATGCATCTGTACCCCCTAAAGGACTCAGGATAACCTAAGAAGACACATGGAGAAGACCTGTATGACATCTTATGACGATTATATGGTCGAAGATGAGGGTAGCATAAACACCCAAAGACACGAAGAAAAAGATAGGAAGGAGGGGATTTATGTAACAGGAGATGAGGACTGGAGTTATTTAATACAAAAGATGGCATTCTGTTATTTAAATAGACAGCAGTCTCAAAGGCAAAATCCCAAAATTTCAAAGGAACAGAGGCATGAGCTAGAAGAGCCAGACCAGTTTCAACAATGTGACGATGTTTTCATTCAACACGACCATTCTGTTCATGTGTATAGGCACATGATTGTCTATGTTGAATTCCTAATTGAACAAAAAAGAATGCAACTTTTTGTACTCAGCACCTAAATCAGACTGAATGGCCTTTATTTTGCAATTAAAGGACCGTTCAACAAGAGTACGAAATTTATCAAAGATGACATAAAGATCAGACTTTAATTTCATAGGAAAGAACCATGTATAACGAGAATAGTCATCCACAAAGATCACAAAATAACGGAAGCCAGAAGTAGATAAAGTGGGCGTAGGACCCCAAATGTCTGTGTAAATAAGATCTAGGACTTGAGAACTAGAGGAAGCAACACGGGGGAGGGGAAAACGGGACTTGAGAACTAGATTTGCCTAATTGACACGCATTGCATAAAGAATTATGACAACGAATATTATCACGAGACCCACTAACCAAACAAGAACGAAGTATATGGGTAAGAACACGGTTATGAGGATGACCTAGACGATTGTGCCAAGTGGAAGCCGAGGCACGAGCGGAAATAAACGTTGACGGAGACGAACTAGGTAATGAAAGTGTGTATAGTCCCCCCGAACTATTGCCCCGAAGAAGTATTTCCTTGGTATTGATATCTTTTACAACAAAAAAGGAGGGGTGAAACTCAAAAAAAGACTTTATTATCGGATGCAAACTTTTGAACAGATAATAAAGAATTAGACAAACGCGGAACGTGAAGTATATCAGACAATGTAAATGATCTAGAAGGGGTATTAAAAGAGGCATGGCCAACATGACTAATAGATAAACCCATACCGTCACCGACACGTAAAGTGTCATTACCAGTGTACTTCTCCGATGTAGAAAGGGCAGCGATGTTCGGAGTTGCATGACTTGTGGCTCCAGTGTCCGGAACGCAAGTATGAGAATTTGACGAGGTTTTAGCAACTAAACCATTCTGAAACACCAAATTAGCCTGAGAACCCGGAGCCCCTGAATATCGCCGAAAACAGTTGACTCCCGTGTGACCGAAACTTTTGCAAATTTGACACGGATCATTATAGCGCCAAAAACAATTGGCTCCCGTGTGACCAAAACGTTTACAAATTTGACACGGATCATCATAGCGCCAAAAACAATTGACTCCCGTGTGACCAAAACGTTTACAAATTTGACACGGATCATCATAGCGCCAAAAACAATTGACTCCTGTGTGGCCGAAACCTTTACAGATTTGACACGGATCATCGAAGCCACGTTGCTGACCTCCACGGTAATTAAGGTTGCCATCGCAGCGCTGCATCTTCTTAATTTTATGAATCACAAAACCCTAGCTAACTGATACCAGATGAGAACTGATTGTATTATATTTTCTGAACTTAATTACAATGAGATCAGATGATGTGAATATATAGAATAGAGAGTCACAGTGTGACAATGATAAGAAGTAGAGAGTCACAATGTGACAAGGATAAGAAGTTCTAAACAGACTCATATACATAGAGTCCTAATACGTACATCTTACCTAGATTCACAAATTTTATTTATTTATTACAATTTTGAAGTGGAATTTTCCGTTATTATGCAAATTACTTGTACAATGGTAGAATATGTACTGAATTCTATTTTGCATTTAGAGATAGCTGAATTACAAATTGCCCACTTGTACAAAGCTGGTTACACAAAATGTACAACACCATTCTAGCCACCAAAAAAAAAAAAAAAAGAAAAAAAAAGAAAAGGGGAGAATAGCCATTTTTTCCCCTTCTTTTTCCCTTCTCTATTCCATATTTTGTTATTATAAATTAATCTAGAAAATACATATATGCATTTTAAATTATATTTCTACTGCCAATATTATAAGCCCTTAATTGATCTGATTTGATATATCACTTTCTGATAGATGCCTTCACCTCTTCAAGTTCTCTTCTCAACCTACACTGTCTCCTTAATGTCATTTTTCTCCACTCTACTAATTGACGCAAAAATACCATAACCTGCAAAATACCAAAAAAAAAATAATAATAAATAAAAAAAAATTCTTAATATATACTAATGATATGAAAACTTTAAGGTTCGTTGATGGATCTATCTTACCTCGGATGGCTCCTGCAAGGAATAAGACGCATGGGTGTCTTTTGGAGTTTTAGAGACAAGAATGCCAAAACCTTGTCCTCTTTCTCTCAACACCTAATCATGATTAATGAGTTGATAATAAATAATTAGTCACTAATAAAATAATAAAAAAATGATGCTAATCTGAGAGCATTGGATACCTTGAAGGCATCTTCATCAGTTCTATCATCTCCGATATAAACAGGGAAGACGTCAGTACAGTTAGCATATCCTGTTGAACATCATAACATATTCAATTAATTTAGTTAATTAACCAACTTTAATATACAAACACCAAAAGTTAACATCCATCATATCAACCAACCAAACATTAAGGAAAGATAGAGATTTTATTTGATAAGCGTACCAAGAGATTCGAGCAAGAACTCAAGAGCTTTGCCTTTGTCCCACTTAATTGTTGGTCGAATCTCTAACACTTTTCTTCCTTGGGATAATCGAAGCTTTGGGTATTGTTTAAGAACCGATCTTACTTCTTGTGCTAACTCACCCCATTTCTGTAAATATAAAATCAAATTTGGATAATGCAGGCAAGTACAGTAGTCCCTATCGATCTACAAACAACATTATATTATATTCTTCGTACTTTATACATATTTAACATCAAATGTGTACATAAAAATGTTGTGTTACTTACGTTTTGTTCCACGCAGCGGAAGTGTACGGACACACAAAATTTGTTGTGCTCCACTGTAGCACCAGGAATGGATCTTGTTTTATCCAACAGGGCTGTGTACACCTGAAAAATTTTCGTATAAAAATTTAACCGCCCACCCACAGTAAAATACAGAAAATAACTGATCATGATCTAAGCTAGCTACCACCACTAACCTCGTTGATCATGGGGAGGAATTCACTAGCTGGTTGGAAAAGAACAGCCTGAGCTCCCTGAAATTAAAATAAATTAAGTATTTTACAAAAAAAAAAAAAATTGAAAATAATAATGTTGGTTTAATTAAGCAGAAAGCAACAAAGTTCACTCACTTTCAAGTATTTGGAACCTTTTGAAGGGCCTTTTATGTCCATACCATGGCTCCCAGCATAGTACAACTCAGCCAATTTTACAAAACTGTAGACCTACGATACATTAATTGTACAAAATTAGCACTATAATAAATTAGTGGTCCTAGCAAGCTAGAATAATATATAGAATGGACAAAAGTGACGGCCAGAAAATGAATAGTTACCTTGTCTCTGCACCTTCCGCTGACTATGGCAGTCGGGAAATATCTAGCAAGTTTTCTCACGGTTGCCCTCATCTGATAACAACCAACCGACCAGAAAACTAACGTTAGTATCTATCTCTCATGTTTTCGGTCAATTCGCAGGTTGCTCTCATAGGAATAAATATATACTAACCGCGTCAGACATGAAAGCCCGATCAGGGTCGTCGACGATGGGGGAGAGGGTGCCGTCGTAGTCCAGAAACATCACGATTTTCTTTCCTTTTGAAGCTTTTATTATCTGCTCGAACATGTCCAGAGCGGATGGATGTTGCAGCTGTTATAAGTTCAAACCAACCCCATCAATTTTTTGTTTTTATTTAATTTCAGTTTCTGATAAATGAAATTAAAATATATGACGTCATGACTTTCGTCATTTTCCAACAATTTTCTTTTCTACCAAAATTGGACGTACACAGTAGTAAAATACGCCACCTTTTGTGTACGTATACAATTCCTTTCAGGGTATATTTATACGGATGCGTATACGATTTCTTCCGGGTATGAAATACTGACATGTGTCTACATACGTGTATAGACTATAGAGTAGAGAGTGTATCATCAAATTTATACAGAATAGAATAGGCAAGTTATTAATTCTATATATATATATAATATGTATAAAAATGGCAGTGGTGATTTTGTGAGAACATGGTAGGAGGGGTATTCTAGTCTTTTACTTGGGCGTACCTTCCAGGAGCTATGGTCGTCGGAGAGAGCGCAGTTCTGGGCAGGAGTAGGGGAGGAAGCTCTCATTGAGTCAACCCAGGAGTTGATTTTGGCGGCGCCATTGGCGTCAACCTGGAGGAGGTTCTTGGATGAAATGGCGAAGTTCATGAAGCCGCCGCCGGGGGGCTTGTGGGCGGCGGTGGTGAAGATGGCGGCGGAGGAGTTGGAGACCGCCACTGTTATGGCGATGTTCAGGTTGGATTTGGGGACGACCACATTTTGTTGAGTCATATTTGGGGTTTCAATTAGAAACAGGGGAAAAACAGAGTGTTCTGTAATCCGAATGGGTGTGGGAAGAGGAATGGGGATTAGCTGATTTTCTGTATGTATAGATATAGATACAGAGAGAGAGAGAGTTTGTATCTGTGATGAAAATAGAGATCGAGCGGTTTGGTTGTTTTATAGTTGTAAGCGAGCACTAAATGCCGAGGCGATGTCCGCTATCAAGGTTGTGGGGCCTAGCGTGGGGGAGGGCCCCACACTCAATATCCCTGAGAGGCTGAGGGGCTTCCCCACCACGGTGGTCCCCCCACCCACCCACAACCTTATTCGCAATTGGGGCAGAGCAGGGTTTCTCTCCCCTCACCGCCGCCGTCTTTGCCGTCACCGTAACAGCCTCTGCCACCTTGTACCTCCGCCACGTGCAAACTGGCAATCCACCTCATACGTTCCGCTACGTGGCATCATTTCTGGAGACCTTTATTACATTATAGCAGCAACCCATTAATCTGATACTCATGTACAACACAAATTAATTATGTACGTACCAAATTTAATGCATTAGCATTCGCATTAGCATAGGAGGATAAAATTTTGTCGGATTATATTATATATATGAGTGAGTTTGAATAATCCATTCATTATGTTTATGTCATTACCTAATTATCATCTGCAGTTATTGTCAAATGAAGTTAAGGCCTAATGTAATCTTTTTCTGTATTTGGAGGTTTTTTGATGTGAAAGGGGCCGGGGGCTCATAGTATGATGTATTTGTAGAATCTGAAATATTGATATTGGAGGACATGCAAAGTTTTGCTGTAGAATGCGGCTGGCTGCGTTATTGGAATTTCTGGTGGGGATGGATGTTGCTTTCAACAAACACTCTGCACCCTGCATTTTAATTGGCTTGCTTTTCATGCCTTTTACGATACTAAACTAAACTACTTCACTTAATTTTAATCTATGCCTAATTTTTTTCCTTTCTTTTTACTGAATACTCATGATATTTTACAAGGTAGTATATATTCTATACTTTCTCAAACATTTTCAACTCAAAGAATCTAAGCCCCTACTAGGGGTGTGCAAACTTCGGATAATTTTCAGTTAACCAACGGAACCGACAAAGTTCGGTTAACCGTTTTCGAACCGAACTTTTTCGGTTCAGTTAATGGTTAAAGGAATTTTAAAACTTCGGTTAACGGTTAATTCGGTTCGAAAGGTCGGTTAACCGAATGGTTAACCGAAGTTTTTAATATATATATATAAATAATAATATAAATATAAATACTAATTTTAAGTTATGGATGTTTGGAGTTTATAATTCATGTTTTTTTACATTTTGTTATGAATTTATTATGACATGTATTTTATTTTAATTGGATTTATTATTTTAGGTGTTATTTTTAGAATTTTAAATTTTAGCTTTAAAAAGTTCGGTTAATTCGGTAACTTCGATTACCGGTTAATTAGGTTCCGTTGAAATGATACCCATGTAGAAGAACCACAAAGAACCAATAACGCCTCTATTGAGGCTCGAACTCACAACCTTTCAAATAGAAGTCTAACTCAGGTATCATTAAACCACATAGTCTTGGTCCAAGATGCCATAACATACATATAAGCATTTTTCTAGATTCAAATTGATTGACTTTCAGTACCTAAGTACACCGAATGTACTACTGGAATTATATAAGCTTATTATATGTAATTCTTTTCATTTAGGAGAAAGTTCGCTGTCATTATTTGAGAGTGCACTTTATGTGAAACTCGTAATCACACATGAATGTGCATTTTAGGTGAAATCGATATTGTGACCTTAGCTGTTAAAGAACAACAAAAACATAAGTATAGTTTATCCCTAAATGGCTGATTCAAACTAAAAATCTCAATACTTAGACAACTCTATTGTAGAATCAAACTTATTATCCATAATTCCGTATGGTCTAAAAAAAATGATTTGATTAAATTTCTTTTTGGTAAAGGTAAAAAAAACAAAAAACAAAAAAAAAAAAAAAAAAAAAAAACAAGAAAAAAGAAAAAAACTTATCAATAGAATTATCAAACCTGGAAAAAATAATGCATAATTAGGAGGGCAATTTATATCATAGACCAAGGTCCACATAACATTATGGATCATAGATTGAAACAACGAGGTACAAAATTCATACTTGTAATGTACAGAATTTCATAACAAAAAACACAAAAAATCACAACACAAGACACATATCATTAGCATTATGGAACCAGTTGGATTGAAAAGATGAGGTACATAAGTCATACACTCATACCCATTGATGTGAGCTTATTTCTGCATGTTCTTCTTCCTTATTTGAATCTATTTGTGGGCTTAAGTTCGTTAAATTGTTACTTTCAATACCTATTTCCTTGCTTTCTAAAGAAGATATTGTTTAATGCTTGATTTGAGAGTTTTTATGGTTTTGTTAGTGTTTTGAAACCATTGCAGATCAATTGCAAAAGCAAGGAAAGTTCTAAGACAAGTTTGGAGTCAAAACAAAGTCAAGGTGAAGCTAAGGATGTGGCTAAAATGCTTCAAAGAGAGCCAAAGAGTGGTACTTTTAATGAATTTGATCACAAGAACAAAACAAGGAAAAAGTGGAGCAAAAGACCAAATAGTTGTAATTCCCGCTAAATTTGGCGACACCTTAGTATTTTGATCATATCTCATTCTAGGAATGTTCGATTCAGGTGATTCTTGCGCCATTGGAAAGAAGACTCGAAGGGATACAACCTGTGATGCAGTAGAAAACTCGACACGTCAAATCCCAAACTTGACGCATCGAAAATTTCTAGAAAGTTACGCAAAGAAAGGAGACAAAACTCGACGCGTCGAAAATCCTGGGCGAGATTTTGGAAAGTTGTGCGGAAATTTCCTAATCTATTCCCATTGAGCTTCAACTATAAAAAGCCCATCTTCCCTCAACCCTAAGGACCCTCGAAGCTGCGCTTTGGAGACAAGAGAGAAAGAGATCAAGAGCTACAAGTCGCATTGGGAAGAAAGAAGAAAAACTATGAAGATTTGGGAGAATCTCTTGCTCTATTCTTTTACTTTCTCCGTTGCTTGTGAACTCTTTTATATTATTGTAATGAATTCTATTCTAGCCATGTGTGGCTAGAACCTTTTAGGGATTTTTGGGTAAAAAGTGTTTATGAACCTATGTGCCTAGTTCTCAGATTCTTTAATATATTGATATTTGGGTTTTATAACTTGTGTTGAAATTGTGTTCTATCTTGTTGATGCTAGTAATTAAGGATCCAAATTACTCGTTTCAATGCTACATTTATGTCTTAACAGGATTTAAGGCATATTTTAGAGCACCCACGATTGCACCTTGGGAGATAGCATATTTGTTAAGGAGTTAACTTTTGTCTATTGCACATTGGGAGATGGCATGTATATTAGTTAAGAATACTTTACGTACCTTGAATGCTTGTCCTTAAATTGTTGAGTGTTTATATCATGGGAATGAATATTTACTCGCATTACTTTAGGTTGGAATTATGGGAGTAATTCCTTCCCTTGTTTGCATTCTCACACTTGTTTTAACCCGAATTAAATATTGCTCCTTAGATTGGCACTATGTGATTAAACACTTGAATCTCAGAAATCTCACTCTCTCTCTTTATTGTTTTCACAAACCCGCTACCTTGTTCTTTTAATCAGTTTTATAATCAACCATCTATGATTTTCGTTAGGATAATTAGCTTTAAAAAAAAAAAAGAATAAATTAGTAACTAGTGCTTGATATGCCCCGCTTCCCTGTGGATCGATAACCCGATACTCCGGGTAATCATTTATTTGAGAAATATACTGCAAGCACTCATAAGGTACAAAATTTCATAACACAAAATACAAACAATCATAACACAAAATACAAAATTTTATATATTTACTTATTTTTTAAATATGATTTATGTACATAATTTGTGTTCATAGACAAAAAAATTTCACAACACAAGATACAAAAATTAATAACATAAGACAATTACTAATTTGTTCCATCCTTCCAGGTACAGAATCCATATTCATAAGGTATAAAATTTTACAATGCAAAATACAAAAAATTATAACACAAAACACAAATATATGAACTAGAATCCATAGTGTAGTATGAATCCTAGTCTATGGTATAACAATTGAATTGGGAGAGTATGGGTCAATTAGAACCCAAAAATAGTAATGTTTCAGAGATGTTTAAGGATGTTTTTAAAGGGCACACTGTAATTCAGCTTAGTAAAACTAGCAGCTTCTCTACCAACCCTGTTAGCCAAAACTAGCTGCTTAATTCTTTTTCCTACCATATTATTATCAGGCTAGATTTTATTTTATTAATTTTTTTTTTTAAAAAGTAGATAGAACACGGGCTTCATATAATGCAATGAGGGAAGTTTGTTTCTTAGTTCCCAACATGTGTGTATATATATATATATATATATATATATATATATATATAAAGATGGTGCTTTTAACTTTTATTGTCAAAATATACAGATTAGCCTTTAAAAAAAAAAAAAAAAACACCGGAAATAACAACCTCTAAGGCTCGTTTAGTTCGCGGAAAATATTTTAAGGGAAGTGAAATTGAAATTTCATGGAAAAACAATTACTATGAAGATGAGTTTCATTGTTTGGTTGGTGGAAAGAGAATTACTGGGAATACTAATTCTATTGTTTGGTTAGATTTGGAATTGTAAGGAATAACGAGTATAAAGACCTATATGCCCCTACAAATTAATAAGAGTAATATAATTAAAAAAGAAAACAAGGGTAAAATAGACAATTCATATCACTTTTTCTTCCCATCTTTCATGAAAAACAAAATCTTTGGTTGGACCAAGGATTTTGTTTTCCTCAAATTTGAGGAACGGAAAATGAATTCCATGAATCAAACACCAGAAAACAACATTTTTTCCACTTTAAGGAAAATATTTTCCTTTGGAAAACATTTTTCATGAACCAAACATCCCCTAAGGGGTGAATTAAATGCCGTCGGAGGATTCTCAAAGATTTGAACCCAAATTCTATTACTTTACATACATTAATTTATGGAGATGAAGTACAAATAAGCCACTGAATTATTTGGGAAACAGTAATTAAGCCATCGAACTCAAA